TAGGCTTAAATCTTTTTTTATTTATAAATAAATAAATCTAGTTGCTTATCAATTACACCTATTGGAGTCAATGAAGGTGCATCTATTATTCTATGTATCTCTTCTTGAACTATACAAAATAATGGATATATTGAAAAGACAAAAAGTATCATCTTGTCCTATAAAAGTGAATAATAATGAAAAATTTGAGGTTGAAGAAATCTTAGACTTAAGGCGGCACCAAAATAGGTTAAAATATCTTGTCATGTAGAGCAGATATGATATTAGTAAATGCACATAGGAGCTAACTAAGAATCTTATAAATATAGCAAAGTAGATTGATATTTTTGATCGATAGCATCTATTAGAACCAAGATGAAGGATAGTTATCAAAAATAGAATTGATTTTCTACAATTTAAATGTAATTATCCTTCATCTTGGATAGTATTTAAATGAAGAAGATTGAACTTACCAAATTAAAGATCAAACATAAATTCCGCTTGGGTGTTGGCTGGCCTCTTATTCCAATCTAAATGTCAAACTTCTAGTACCAATATCTCCTTTTTAAACCATTGAATTTCCTTTTAAATACATTTAAATTGTGGAAAATCAAGTCTATTCTTCATAGAAAAAAAAATCACTTCAATCCAATCAACAAATTGCTAAAGATCTTAAAAATATTCATTCACACTTAAATTCCAATTTCTGAGACCCCAATCCACAAAAACCTTCTTATACTTTGATCTAATTGTTTGATTGATTTCAAAATTTCCACACACTATAAACTAAAATACCAACATATTGTCCAAAATTTAATTATACACGCACCATAGAATTCAAGAAACCCTCAATTTTGTAAGCATAATTTTATTTTTTAAAATCTAATCCAACAAATAACATTATTAATTTTGAAAATCTTCCAAAAATTTAATACTAATTTGATTTTTATAAAACTAATGCTCAAAAATCTCTTTGCAAGTCTATCCTCAAATTCCACTCTTCAATCTTCTAAAGAACTCTAGAACCATTGTAGATGCATAGTTTTGTTTCTCGAGATGTGATTTTGATCTAGGTTGACAACCGGTTCTTTGCACGTATCAATATTTGATAATTTGAGGTAATTTTTGCTTGAACCTATTAGTAACTTCCTTCCAAACATGTCGACATCAACCACTTATCTCATTTATTTTGATTTGAGGCATTTATGCCCCTATAAAGCAAATAGAAGCCCCTTCTTTAAAAGACAGTATTAAGACTAAATTTTTTTATTACTTTCCTATCATTTAACCTTGTCTTTCTATCACATCTTCCTACTAGGCTCTTCTGTAATAGCATCCATGTTTTTATTTTTTATCATATAATCATGTTACCATACAAAAGCTCTAAAGAGATAGAAAACCAATAGCCATCATATTCAACTTAGGTGCTATGATTTGCTAACTTATCACATGAAACATTGTAATTATTACAATATTGAAGATAACATAATCAAGATGAAGATCTTGAAGAAAATTTTTTTCTTCTTGAAATAGATGAAAAGATATAATGTATTTGATATCATGACCTTAGAAGAGACTCCCAATGTTTGGTGATTTTATTGGAAGTAGGAACAACTCCTAATAGTATTATAAATGTTTTATTTGAAAGAAGTTATGAAGGCCTCAATAGTGATCAAATAACAAGGTAGTCTTCTTGCTTTGGAATGGAATACTATTAGTGGTTGAAAAGACCTATCAACTATCTTCAAAAGAAATAACAATTATAGTATGTGGCAAATATAATTTGTCATATCTTGGACTTCCTTAACATGTGATTACTATTCCTTGTAGAATTCGTCTTTAGAAGGGGTGATATTATCATGGACGTACCTATAATTATTCAGATAATATAAATAAATAGAAGTACGTAAAATTAAGTAAATTTTATAATATTTTATAAAAAATATTTTTAGAAGCTTTATAGATGCAATTTCACCTTAATACATGTCTCTTTGATTCATTTCTCAATTATTTACATATCTTCTTTGAGTTCTTGTTCTTGATACTTACTTATGATACTATTTTTTATTTGGTTAAAGCCATAGCTTCCAAAGCTTTTTATTGATAGACCTCATTATAATTAAGATGGTAGTTAGCTTGCTGTCATTTTTTTAAAACATACAAAAATACAATAATAAAATAATATGTTTTAAAAATAAATTAATGAATTCTTATTAATTATTTTTTATACATGTAGTTTCTTAATTTTTTTATTCATTTAGTCTTAAGTATTAATTAGATACATATTCTTCTACAACCTCAAAAGACTAATGTAAATGTGTAATTTAGATAACAATTGAGAATCTAATGATTAAATTTTTATCTTATTATCATTCTTTTTCATCTATATTCTTTATAATCACTTCCAATAAGCACTACTTACTATAAGTTTGGCATATATTTATTGTTATATTAATATTTAAAAAATAAGCCACATAAAATTAATACAAATAAAATATATACATATGCTTATTGAAAGACATTATGAGAGAAAGAAAGAAAGAAAGATTTCTATTTTATATCCATCTAAATTATTAATTTTTCTCTTCAATTACTTATTCTGTTACAAAATTGGACATCAAATTTAATTGTATGCCTGATTTTTAAAATTTTAATTTTAGCTCTTGAATTTTATTCTTCTATTTAGTACCATCAGTATAAATCCTATAATTCTAATGAAAATAAAGCTTTTGAAAACAACATTTTATATTAGAATATTTACTTGGCTTAAAAATATTAATTAATTAATAATTTAAATCAATTTAAATTATTTATATTTATCAATTTAGATAGATTTATTTTAAGTATATTATAAAATAAGATATAACTATATAAAAAATAAAATAAAAAATTACAAATATTTGCAAAATTATCTTAAAGAGTTGTTTTTTATTCCATATATATAACATGTTTTTTAATCATATCTATCTACTCTAAATAGTAATATAAAATTCTTACCACAAATCCTACATATAAGTTGGATCTCTCACTATTAATTTTCATTCATTACTAATAATTTTAAATTAAAATACTTACATGCTTTTGAATGAGTTTGAATCCACCATATTTACTGATAGTATTAAATTAAAACCTATATTATTTTTAGTTGATTATACGTAATCCTAAAGACTTATTCAAATTGCCATGTAAATACAGTCAATTGTTTTACATTGATATAGGCTTTAATAAGCACCTAATTTATATTTAATAATCACAATTCTTAGAATTTTTTGGAAATGTCAGATATCCCACCTCTATTTCCTCTTTTAACATCATGAGTAAATCAAAGTCATCTTGTAAAGAACCTTAAACATGTTCAAGCTTTTTAATATCTAATATTATTCTTTATAAGATTTTGGTGGGATTTACTTACAAAAACATAATTAGTTTAGATTATGTCACAAAATAAACTACAATCTATAATATTATTTTAAATAAAATTTTATTATGCTATTTTTATAATAATACAAAGAATAAGCTTCCTAACATATTTGCTTATCTTCTTCTATTATTAGAAGTTTCAAATTTTCATAGTCAATATTTTGTTTTATTTTAAATAAAACTTTTTTATATTAGATTTGATAAATACATATAAAAATTTATAAGTTTAATTTTGAGCTAAATAAATTAATTTTTTTTAAATCTATACTGTAAATATTGAATCTTAATGTTCCTATAAAATAAGATATTTTTATAAATAATTTTATTAATAAGTGTATACTTTATAGAAATTAATTTTCTAGTTTTATAATTAATTTATGTAACTTTAGAATAGACAATTTCTTCTCTTTCTTTAAATACCAAGCACAATATCAAATACATTGCAAGTCTATAATTGAAGATGAGAGGGAAGACAGTTAAGTATATAAAAATTACAGTCTTGACAAAGCACGGCAAAGAAAAGGGATAATTTATTGTAGCCATTGATTGTTAATTGTTGTTATCCGTCATACAAACTTATGCAATTATATTTCTATAATTATACAAACTTCATATTTTTTAAACCATAGATAGTTAGTATAGATAAAGCACAATTCAAAGGCTTTATCTACATTAACTATCTATGGTTTTATTTTACAAATTTTTTTTAAAAAATAAAAACTATTATTTATTAGATCTAAATCATATACTTCCTGAATTAAAATTAATGAGAATTAATGAAGATTCTATATTTGGTATGAATACAACAACATATGAATTTATGTACCATTAATTAAATCAACACTTATAACTATGTATAAAAAAGATACTATGTTTTGAACATACTATGATTAGAGTGGGCAATATAATAATAAAGATATCTCTATATCATTATCACCAGTCATTTTTTAATTGGTGATCTTTTTTATTACAATATGACTTGAGTGAATAATAGAATAATATAAGAACTTATTTAAGGCATAGTGCAATAAATTTATGAAAGAAATTACTGAAATTTTTATGATATAGTAATACTTCTTATACATATAAACATTTGAAGGGCATCAAAATCATTTTGTTCTATGCTTGGTAACAACACTTTTAACTTAAAACACAATATCTTTTTTATTTGGCAATTAATACTCTTCTGCCTCTAGATTACCTTCTCTTAGGCCATACTCATTACTCTAAAATTATGAGCAACAAAAATAAGCAGAAGAAATACTTATTTTTAATTTTCTTAAATTTGTAGAATTAAATGAACTTTGATTCAAATCAATGTTATAGATTTTTTTTTCTTTTTTTTTCTTTGGTGAAGTAAAAATTATCTCTATAACTTCAATCCTATCAACCATCCATAATTAATATTCTTCTACAAATGAAATAAATGAAACTCCATCATCCTCTTCTTTCTCACAAATGATGATATTTCTAGAGAAAAGTTACAAGGTTCTCTTTCCTATTGGTCCCCTACCCTCCAACAATTATCCTCTCACTTGTTGCTAGGAATCGCTATGACTCAGAAAAGGATACTTACATATAGACAAGAATAAAGCAGTGCAGTGGAGGGAAGAATTGTGATTGGGTGTGGAGTGTGTACACTCGGTGTTTTGGACTCTCGTTTTCGCCATCTGTCTTGCTCCCGCACCCAATCACCCTGTGTGGATTCATTCTGCCTCGCGGGGCTGGTATTTCGCCTCTTGGCCGCGTTGCAATCGCGTCCTGGAGGTGAGAGCAGTGTTGCGACTGTGAGAGGGTGCTCTCTACCTTCATGACGGTGCTTCGCGGAGCTGGAGTTTGGAAGTGCAGCGAGGGCGGTGAGGCATACCGCAGAGAAGACCCAGAGGAAAAGGAGAGGCGTAGCAGCAGGAGGTGCTGGATTCTGCTGGGTTGGGGCTGCGGTGAGAGTTTCGACGACGCTATGGCTCGGTGTACTGCGGCGGTCGACCAGGTTTTAGGGTTTAGGGTTTAGGAGGACAGAGGCGGTGGCTCTAGTCTTACGGCGAGCGAGAGCGCGGTGCGTTTCGTAAGACTCATTGCTGATGAGCCACAGAGTTGCGGGGGGCAGTCCAGCAGATTGTCGGGTGTTGAAGAGGGGCAGAACCCCGCGGATAGAGACGCTAGCCCCATCACGCAAGGGCCATCTGGTGTTTCCGCTCAATTTTTTTTGGTACTGTCGGGGTTTGTCCGACTTGGTGGAGATGGTTCTCTTGACCGCGGTTCGAGTTTAGGGTGTATTCAGAGCATTGAGTATCTACCCCTTGTAGGCGATCGGTGTGAGACTAGACACCATCATGGTGGGAGGAATGTGCAAGTTTGCTGCTAGGGCTTCTCCAACACCATTCACGTATCTAGTGTGGCAGATTGATTTATAGTTGCTGACGAGACCCTGTCTTACAGAATGCTAGAGATGTCACAGGGGCCATACCGCAATGCATTTCGCGTAGAAAATTCGACATAGATAATGGGATATCATTTCTATGTGCATGGAGTTTCTTGAAGAGTGCTATGTCTTGCTCTTACTAACTTTTCCCACGAGAAGTTGGTCGAGCTGTTTCATACTAACGGAATTATGGTGAAGAGATTGTAAATATATTTAATCCTACTTATCAGATGGTGAAGAGGGAAACTGAGATCAGGACCGTTTTCTAAATTTGACACTTTCTGTGGATAGGCCCACGCCAGCATCCTTGGAGCAGTCTTCCTATTGCATCGAGATATCATTTAGATGAGGATATCTCTAGTAAGGGTATGGTTTCCTCCAAAAGGGAAAGGGAAAGGGATTCGAAGGATTGCTCCCTGATAGGACAGCAGCCGCTTATGTTGCGGGATAACCCGGCCCTCGAAAGGCCGTCACGTCATCCTGTAAGTCGGTGGTGCACCATCTCTTATCCGTAATGACATCGCAGTCTTAGAGGTGCCATGTATACAATAGCACAATGTATGAGCTCTGCAGGATTACCTCTACTGTAATCAAATTTCGCCGTCTTCTTCCCCCTGTTCAATCGACGTCAAGTGATGAATCATATTGTTTAATATGTTGGCAGGCGGGTCCCTTAGTCCGATACGAAAAGTTTGTGCGGATGCAGTAGCCATTGCAGGTTCGAAAGGCAGTGGCCATGCATATCGGCCAGCAACAGGCGGCACGGGGTGTGCAGAATGCAAGCGCTCGAACGTTACCGTTCATGGATGAAGCACATCGAGGTGCTCAACCATCGGACTGCCCTGATCGAGAACACCTTACAATACATTGTCTCTCACCTTCAACGCAAAGTGGGTTAGGGTCTCCAGGACTATTTGACGACAGGGGCAGAAGAGCTACCATGGCTGGAAGGAGGCCACCAGTTCAGGAACCTTCATCTCAATCAGGAAACCTACCTAGCCATCCAGCAAGGTATTTAGTGGCAAGACCCTGCACTCAATATCGTCCACCACTCGAAGGATGGTTAAGTCAAAGTTCTTTTTTACGATCCACTGTCTGTTATTAAATTCTTCTCTGTTTCTGGATATCACAGGCGTGGTGAAACTGACATGAATCCCCTTACAGCACAGCTCACTGTTATTTATGCAGGCATGGTGCACGTCCATGACGATTTACCCTTTGATAAGGTGGGCTGCGGAAAGTTCTTTCAATTGTAGGTTTGCTCATCATTCGTAGGAAAAAATGAAAAATATGTCTTTGTATGTGGCTTATTCTGTGTTTTGATTACTATTAATGCAGGCTCAAGTTATCATGCATTTAGCTGGCAGTGGTAACAACATTAGCCGTTCTGGAAGTGGTGCATTTTCTCCTGCTCGTCCACTTTCTGCTCTCACAGCCGTGCCGCAGCTCGTAACGCCTATGCTAGGGTCCACTGCTCCACAAGCACCCACCCCTTCGACCGCCGGGCTGACATGTCGCATCATACCAGGAGTTATGCGACGAGCACCAACAGCCAATGGTATTTTTGTGTGGATCCTTATCCCTAATCCGTGGTTCACTATTTCATGAAGAGTTTTAGTGCTTAAACAGTTTGGGTGCGGATTTTAGTGGTCCTTTTTACAATGTGCAGTTGAGCTTCCTCAAGCAAGGAAGGCGTCGCTTGCTCAATTTGTTGAGAAAAGGAAGGACAGGTAACATGCAAGATAGCTAGCCTGTGACTTACCAAGAATTCGTGAATTTTAAGTTGAATGTTTCGTTCTCAACATTCTGGAAAATAACCATGTTTGATACGGATGCTACTCTTTCTTGTATAGGGTTCCCAAACTCTATTAAGGCGGAAGTAGAAGAATGTTCTCCTGACAAATCACCGACTCCTAGCAGCATGCCATCGTCAAGATCACCCTCACCAGTTTCAGCGGTCCAGCATCGTGGATCATCTCTAGCCTCTAGCCTAGGTTGCCAACATGGGACATCCAGTTGCAGTCAACCAGACTCTCCAGCTATATCTTCATTAACATCACCCAGAGAAAGTGCTTCTGAAGAGAAGTCTAGCATTGGAACTCACTATAGAAGAGACCACGACATGAAACAAGAGGCCCACAAGCGACCTCGGACTGGGAGATCACCGCCTAGGATCGATGGTGAGACCGCAGCTGACGCCTAAGAACACAACAATTTATCATTACGTCAGTTCTCTCCGTAGCTCGTCTTTTACTCAACGAGTTTATCAATGTTAGCCAGGCAATTTGAGCATCAGGAAATTATTTGTAAACACATCTGGTCGAAGCACTCGATCGTGACGTAGGCTACACCAGTTGATATACGGTATATATCAGCCATGTGCCTGAAGCTAGTTGAGCTACTAAGAAATTTTAGGCCTGGTCACGTCAGTTGCACCATCCTTCAGACGTTCGGGAATCTTTTCTTAGTTATTAAATCGGACTTTTAGGGGTTGCTCAATTGATTTGTAAATGTGAGTTGACAGTAAGCAATATTGTAGAGTCAGTTAGGTTCACACTTTTGTTTATGCACTGTTCGATTAACCGAAGTGTTATTGACCCACCGTAAGTTTGCTACTCATTGAAATCCTTCATAGGTCTAATTACGTCATCAGCATTGACGCATCAGTATTTAAAAAAAAAAAAAAAAAAAAAAACAACAACATTAGCTTCAGGATACAGTGGAGAAGCTCCACTCTGACCTCTTCTTAACAACTGGGCCTGGAACCAGAGGAGACTTAGGAAGAACCATCCAAGACCCTATGCTTTCCCAAAATCAAACCTCATATTGCTTAACCCCAAAGCGTCGGTTTCAGATTGGTAGTTTGTCCACTTAGTGCAGCTGAGTTTACACCAACTGCCGATCCCCCTCCTTTCATTGAATCAGACGAGGAGAGTGATGGGATCATCTGGCCAAAATCGACGACATAGCACGGAACGTGCTCTGACCGTCATATATCCGTGATGTGTACATCCCGGGCTAACATAGAATCAATGACCAAGGCTAGTGCATGGAATATCCTGTCATGGAATAATGAGAGCCTGTGCTGGTACCACACCTGACCATTGGACCTCGAGAACCACGTCCAGAATGCATTTTAAATGTATGGACCAGCTGTCGTACGTAGCAAGAACGGCCCCAAGTTAAGTAATATAGCCTGTGAAATAGACCTCGTGGTGTAAGTATTGATGCCCGAAGAGCCGCAGCTGCATCAGGAACGGACCACGCGGTACAATCTGATGGGATCCCTCCCAGCTGTTAGAGTCCGAAATATTCAATCCGCATGGTCCGACCTCCAGGGTCGATCATGGAGCTTGACTGAAGGCACAAATAATTAGGCGGACATGGCTGGTTTGAAAAGTCGCGCTGGGTGCAGGAATCGTTGACGTCGCGGTACGCCTCAATATTAGCCTCGTGCAGAGTTGTGCTGAATAATCGATACGGCCCTTCTTCTTCTTCTTCTGCGTCATCGACCCCTTTCCAGCCTCAGAGCAGCGTAGAAAGATCCAGACTCGAACCCTGCAGAGCACCGCAGAGTAGTGATGCCTCAGACATCACTGAATTCACAAGCGCTTTTTTGAAGAAGCACTAGCAATAAATAACATCACGGTTGGACTGCGTCTAATCAAGTCCACCAGGACGAGTTATCGATCTCATGACAAACCTTGCTAGGCTCTGATTTCACCACCGTCACTTCTCTCCTCCAAGGTGGAAAATGTACCAGCACTCACAATGCGTCGACGCGGCACAACTGCAACACCCATCTACGAGTTAGCGACGCTTTCTCGGATGCGTCGAATACGAACAGTAACGAACAGTACCAGTCTATTCGCAGTCGCATACACCCTAATCCCCATCAGTCTGGGTCCATATCACATTATTATTCACTATCAATGGGCACCGATGCACTTCTACTCCTTTCCAGTAACAACCGAACAAAATATTCTCTTTCCCAACTGTGATTGATGAGAGGGTCCAGGATCGGTGGAAAAAACTTAATATAGATAAAAATTGTTGAGACTAAAATCTTTCCAGCACCACGTCACTTTACTGTGGATCTTATTCCTATCTAGATTTTCCAACTTGAACAAAAAATATATATATATGAACCTTAAGTCGAATAGCCAATCTCATCATAAACAGCACTGATTTTGTTATATTTTTCGTTTCTCTTTCTGGGTTTTTTAGTCTTTATTTCTCTACAGAAGCCATTGTTCTCTAGAGCTTGCCATTGCAGGCATCTTGGTGAAGGTGGGCACTACAAGTATCCTTGAATCACGCTCTTCGAGAATCCTGATCCATTCGAAGATTTCGATTGCATCGTCGTCGGAGGTTTGAACAAAGTCAATGAGACCGAAAATTGCCACGTGAGCCCGACATGAAACTGATACGAAAGGCGAGAAGAAGAGTCTGGAAAATCTAGGTCGTTCGTTCCGATGAAGAAGATCTAACGGAGCTAAGCCATTCTGAGTGTGATGTTGGGATTGGTGCCCAGTGCTATGGAACCAGGATAGGAGGGGAGTGGACAAGACACGTAGTGAGGTTGTACTGGAGGAGGACGATGGATTTTGAATGGATGAAAAACTAAATTCATCCATTTGGGCAGGTCCCATTCTCTGTTATTTGCCCATATATATTGTTCACTTACGGATGTTTAGGACTTTTTTCTTTTTTTTTATCAATTCAAAAATCACATATAATAATAATAATAATAATAAATAATAATAATTTTAAACTAATAATTTTATAATAATAGTGGATATTAAAAGAGTAAGATGTAGCAATAAGGAGAGGTGATTAAATGTTTTTGAGCAACCAAATATCATGTGTTTTTGGTTCTTGGGAACCCAAATATCACAAATCACTCAAAATATCATCTCCCCAAATATCACCGTTCAAACTTTAATACCCCCTTCAAGTTTCTAAAGTATCATTTGATATTTTGGTGATTTGAAAAAATCAAAGAGCTGTGTGGTATGGAATTAAAGAAGGAAGACAATTTAGGCAAGCATGGCAGTTTTTGATATTTCACTAGCCCCTCTTGTGATATTTGGATTTCAAAATCACCCATCTCTCATGTGATATTTTTAAATATCATGGGATAATTCAAGATATCATCACAATTGAAATATCACCCAATAACCTTGTCTAAATCCCCTTAATGAATCACATAAAAAAAAAACCATATAGCACCATTGTTATTTGTTTGTAAAGCTTATATTTTAATGCTCCAAAATTCATTAATCTTAGTAAAATTAAAGAGCGAACTAAGACAGTCAATAGATAATAAATATGGCGAGTTTGTCTAAGATTAGAGCTACTCAAATCCATATTGATTTTGGAGAGATAACCAAGACCTCACAAGATATCTTAGTGATTTGTATTTCCACATCTTATGCATCTATCACTAATTTTTATTGGAATATATTTTTTCTGTACGACACATCTTTTAGGTATCATTCTTCTCAATTTTTTTTTTTTTTTTTTTTTTTTTTTTTAAGAATATCCTCTCTTTCTATCATTTATAACACTTCTTTATGCATAATTGTCTTTAACCAATTACGTTTTGAATTTAAAAAAAGAAAAGAAAAGAAAAGAGTTCAAGCCAATTTTTTATCATGTAAAAACACATGCGCCCCATCTAATTTATTGCAGTTGAGAAAAATCAGAAAGAACCACATTTATGATACAATTTTATTCATTGTATCACACATTCTATATACACATCAAACTTATATGACTTGTAGCGCTGTTGTGGAAACGAGGACATCGTCTGGGAAGTTCGCATTCAGGCATTCAGGCAGAGAATATACATTTACATTTAAAAACATATATATATATATATATATATATATGTATATATAAATATTTATGTTTACAATTTTGGTTAGATTGTTGTATATAATGGGATCATTGCGGCCTGGCTTACGGAGTCTGCGACAGCGCAAAGGGGGAGGCACTTCGACGACACAGCTTTCTGGAGACGAGACTCGTCGATTCCTAGTCAGTCAGTCAGTCGGTCTACGAGTACCACGATTGATTGAAACCACAGGCACATGAATTTTGTTGCTTTGATCCCGGTTGTTGAATTCCCCGCAACACTGCTGTTCCCCCACACAAGAGTTATTTCTAAGATTTTGTTTTTCAATAATTAAGATCATAGAAAGAAATTCTGTAGAAAAATGTTTGTATTATGAAATGTATATATGGTATATACATATGCTTAAAAAATTATTATTTCTAAAATATCTCTTACATAATTTACTGTTAGAATTCATTTTAGAATATGAAGTTATTTGCAAATGCTATATTTTCAATAAAAATATATTAAAATTATAACAGAAAAAAATCTTAATATTCCAAGAGAATCATGTAAAAACAAAAGAAGAAAAATAATGTCATTCAAATTTCTTTTATGTAGTAAAACTATTTTCGTAAAGTAACTACATAGACGACATGTTTTTAATTATAGTTTAAAATAACATAGACAAGAAAAGGCATAATTCTTATGCATCAATAAAATAATTATTCAATTAATTAATCAATTTTATATAATTAATTTAAGTCATAAGAATAACATTTAAAAAACTACAAAAGTCTTGATTGTACAAATATTACAAGGATCTTTCCACTTAGAAGACAACGTGAGAGACAACAAATTTCAAATCCTATAATTGGTTGAAATTGAGAAGTCTTATTTAGTTAGCTTTATAATTAGAAACACCAGCTCAAATGTCTTATTAGAAAAAGAAGAGGTGGATTTTTTTTATTTTTTTTTTATTTTCTTCACATAGCATGGAAAATATTGTTTCTTAGAATTTCTATTGGATTTATCTTAAGTGGTGTTTTTTTAAAAATAAAATAAAAAGAAACCATAAAAAAAATTGGTAGATGTTACCACTGAAAGAGCTTAAATTCCACTTTTTATACTTTCTATGATTGATAGCATCAAAGTATGAGCAAAAAAATTTAGATTAGTGATTAAAAAATGATTTGGTTATTTAAATGATTTCTTTTCATTTTATATTATATCTAAAGATCAAGGCTTCTAAAAGAGAATTCTTCTTTGTTAAGTATGAGGTCTTGATAAGACTTTTAAAGCATTTTGTTTTTAAAGTAGGATTTTAAGTGTAAAGATTATCTAAATATAATGTTTGAGAGATTAATTAAAATTTTTGAAATAAAAAATTATCCATTAAGTAATATTATAAAGAATGCATCAACTCTTAAAAATTAAAAAGAAAGAACTTAAAACTTATAGCAATATTATAATAACAACTTTTAGATGCTATTAAAAAACTCTTGGTTTAAAAAATATAAAATAAATTTATTTTTTTTATAATAATAAGGATTTATGATAATATTCTATTTAAGATATTTGTTGATTCCACAAGATATATATATAAAATATATATATTAAATATCTTTAATAAGATATTTAATATATATCTTAAGATTTATTAATTCCATAATATATATATATATATATATATATATATATATATATATACATTGCGGAATTAATCTAGATTCGTTAATTAAAACTTTTTAAAACTAATATACAATGATTTTTGTAATTCTATGCTAATTCAATCAATAGTGATAAAAATTATATTTCTACATTTACTAATAATTATGAGAACTTATTATATATATATATATATATATATATAGATTTATTTTATCTATAATAATAGATAAATATTTAAAATATTTAAAAAACTATTAATATTTTTTAAAATAACTTTATTAAAATAAAACAAAAATATTTTTTTAATTTATTATTATTAGATAAATTACAATAATAAATAATTATGTTTATATAATTAATTATTATTATTCTAATTACTTAATTTAAGACATAGTTAACAACAAGATAATAACATAAAACATAATAATATTTTTTTACTATAAATGATGAAGGATTTGGTAATTAAAAAGAATTATTCGAAATATTTACATCAAGAAGTTATTAGATTGAATATATATATATATATATATATATATATATATATTTCCAATAGATTTTATAATTAAGTAATCAATTCTTAAAGATTATTTAAGAGATTGTTAGATTGTAAGATATGTCTAGGACATTGAAAGGTCTATGGCTATGAAATTTGTAATCATGTTTTTAGTGATACAAAAAATACAATCATAATCCATAGTTGCAATATTAATAGGATACATTACATTTAACCACATTTTGAAGAGCTTTTAACATGTACAAACATTCAATTGAATGCATTATGTTATTTTTAAATATATCTCACCTAAAAATCTCTATTAGATTTTAAAAATTCTTGCTCTCCACTAATTGTTTAAGAGAAACAAGAGTTGAGAACAAAAACAAATTATAGTTGCACTTTAGAATTTATTCTCAACTACTAAATTAAATCTACAAAAAAACACAAAATAATGATTTTATTAAATCCCCATTGGGCTTTTTTGAAAAGTATTTGTAAGAATAAGATCTTAGTATCTTATATTAAATAGATATTATATATATATATATATATATAATTCATGAAAAAGATTAATATATAATTTAAATCTACTAAAAAAACTATAATCTATCATGTTAAAATTTAAAAGAAAAATTATATATATATATATATATATATACACACACACACACACACATATATATATATATATATATAGATAGATAGATAGATAGATAGATAGATAGATAGATATATCAAACTAAAAAAAATCATTTGCTACTTTTGTACTTATATTTTAATTATAATATTTTTTATAAAAAGATTGGCATTTAGCTAAATTACATGTGTGCGTATATATATATATATATATATATATATATATATATATATAACTTTATAAAAAAATATTGAATAATTTTCAATAAAAAATTTCATGTACAATTATCTATTTTTATTAAAAAAAATTGAGAAAAATTTATCATTTATATATTGAATGTTTTCTAGAATAATTAATAAAAAAATTAATTTTTAAATCAATTTTTTAAAACTACAACAAGGTCAACTTATTTAAAATTTATACAATACATCATATATAAAATATTTCTAAAATTTAAATATCAATATAAATATATTTATGCTAAATATATTAAAATTTTAATTATAAAATATGTTAATTTTAATATATATATATATATATATAGGCAAAGGTAAAAACAAACTACCAAGTGGTTTAAAGATTAATTTATTAAGGGTTTCAAATAGTAGACCTTGAACTAAACAAATCTTTTTTATCTATAGAATTCTTTTATTATAAGAATTGAATCTTTAAGCATCAAAATAGTGATAAATTACATATTTTGTAGAATTATAAATTGAAAGAACTCCAACTCTAACATTGTTATATTGGGAATACCAAGAAAATTAGATTGTGTTAGATTTGGTCTTCTTTAAGATTTAAAGCAATTGTTTTGGAACAAGTTCAATGATGCTTTTGAGTTATCCTAGTAGCATATGTGAATATATATACATATTTGGAATTTATTACCATGTCTACAACTTTTGATTGATAGAAAATTATTGCAATTGAATTTTGGTTCTTGTAACACCAAAAATACTCATTTAAAATTGCCAACTAATTTGATAGCTTCAAAATTAATAAAAATTGGTCAATATTATTCACATAAATAGCAAAAACATATTGTTTAACACAATTAAATAAGTGAAAGCATTATTCATACATTTGGCCACAGAAAAGAGAGCAAGTAACTATGACAATCTTTACAATACAAACAAATTGTGCATTACAGTTAATTATGGTGTTGGTCTAAAGCACAATGATCCTTTGATTCCGATCAACATGAAAAGTATCCACAGCAAAATGTCCAAACAAAACATAAAGTTTGCCTTAAAAGAAGTTTAAGCTTTCAACCTTCATCCATTATCCCAGTTTCAAATGAAAATACTGTGAATGCTTTGGTAATAAATATTGCTGTGAATAATGCACACTTGAACAGCAGGCGAATTAGTATTAGGTTGAACCGAAGTTAATCTCATAGAGATACATATTCCGACTCAACATAATAATTCGTAAGTGTGTAATGTCCCAGTATACTAATCTAGATTGGGTTCCATTACACACTACAGTTGCAGCTGCAGCGGGGAGTTCACTTTCACTCCTCCTTACAATAATGGTTCAATTTGACTACCACCAACCAGTCGAAAGGACATAGAACACATTGAAGTCTCGAATTCGTACTCGGCCATTATGGTCAAACAGAGCAACTCGAACAACAATTTTGAATACCGACGACCCAATGATCATCAGAAGAAAAAATTGACCAAATTAAGGTTGTGTCAAAATGAAATGTAAGACCTGTGAACAGGCCGCAGGGGCCAAACGACCACCTCATGTACCCCATGAGATGTCACTAAATTGTTCTTAAGCAGCTCCAACTTTATCGATTTACTGCTCAATCGACCGATCCACTCTGATCGATCTCATCCTCAGCTACATCATTCGGTTCAACTTGAGGGAAGTATGTACAACTATTTACGTGTATCATTCCCTGGCAGACTGGGCTGCTGCTACTACTGTCCTATGAGACCTGAAAACAATTCGTAGCCTACAAAAATTAATCAGGAGCAGACGCAAAAAGTTACGAAGAATGCTCATCCATTGGTTCTGTCCGACTGCCTGTCCCATTTCTAGATGGGGACGACAACTTCTCTCCAGAAGGTACCATGGCCTCTATCCTACTTTCAGATTCCTTGGACTTCTCCAGCGTTTCATGGCTTCTGTCATCCGACATGCTTTTCCTTGGTGGAGTTTGCGGTGGAGAGTTAAGTTCACTGAAGCTTGTCGATGCACCACCAGGAAATGGCGCATTGCCCTGGTTCTTTGTTGCTGGAGGGGAGAGGGACCGTGCTGGTATTTTCCCCTTCGGATCCGATGGGCATGGCGAGTTTTGACGACCTGATCTTCTTGACTCATCATCTCTCGCAGCCTCTTCGTTTCTTGAGTCAGTATACGGTCCTTTACGTACCCTGGAAGATAACAAGCACTAAAAGTTCAGCAAATTACGTGTAGATAACTTGCAGATTAGAAGTTTCTTAAGCCTATACACAAGACCAACAGTCGATGAATTGGTCTATGAAGACAAAGGAATACCTGTCTTTTCTCTTCTCCAAAAATCGAGCCAACGACGCTTTCCTTGCCTGAGGCAGTTCAACTGCACAGGATACAGGGACAGCACAGACCAGAATCGGTACAAGGTTCACAAATCCTATATATAATTAGCTTCAAAAAACATTCAATAGAATTTCACTCCAAAAAACGCAACAAAATTTGTGACAGAAAGGAAAACAAGAAGCATACCAATTAGACCAGTCGTTGCTGCAGTCAAAGCCTGTCGATTGACTGCTCTTGGTGCACCTGGTAGCGCTGCAGTCCCAGCAGAACTGGTGGTCATTTGTGGGGCGGGAGACCCGACCCTAGAAGAGGGCTGACTCATTCGGGTAGGAAAAGGGCGTACAGAAGCACCAGGCAAGTTCATGTGGTTCGAAGAACACGTACTGTCTGTACCAGCTAAAAGCATAATAGCCTGAGCCTGCAATAAGATCATATCATTATGTTTGCGAACAACTGTAATAATATCAGGAACAATACAGTTGATATCTTCTCACATCCGCACTCATGAGTATGAAACTTAGAAGCAAAGCTTACGTGCAGCAGCAACTAAGAATTGAGCTCACCTTGTCGAGTGGTACATCATCAAAGACGTTAACCATGCCTGCGTAAAAGATAGTAAGTTGTGCTGTAGGCGGCTGCTTGCTGCTTCCAGGTGCTCTGTAGAATCCAACGAGAAAACGTTTACTCATTACCTCGAAATTGCTGCTTCATGGCATTGTGTTCAGAAACAGGAGTACGCAGAAAAGCAGGCCTACAGCAGTCAGACTAGCTTGTTCGAAACAAAGTGAGAAATTACCTTGCAAAGACATGAGACGCCGCTTGCCGTAAGTGGTTGACATTCATTGATGCTACCTTCCGAGCCTGCTGAGAAAGCGCAGAGTCTTCAAACCTGCTCTGCATAACTTCTTTTTTGAGAAACACATCGTCGACAGTCATGACAGAGTTGTCCTCGCTTCGAGCTGAGTCGGCTGGAAGTGTTTTTGTTATTGTAGGCATGTTCATCCATGGTGACCGAGTAACGCCTACACACAACCAAAAAAAAAAAAAAAAAAAAAACAACACAAAAAAGAGACACGTGTAGAAACTTAGTCATCGATGTAGTATCTTTGAACTGTGGAGAAGTACATGGCTTCATTTTATGAAGAACCGCATAGACTAACTCAGGATTGACGCTCAGATGCACCTCAAAACATTCCTAACATACTAAAGTTAACTAGTGTGCCCCGAGAGTAGAAAACGACAATGAAAATTGGTTGTTGATTTGCGGAATCATTGACTAGCTGGCATTAATATCAGGTCTCGTCATTTTCTTCATTCACGGCCATTAAAAAGCGTGCATGAAACAACCAGATTCTAAATCTTATTATTTTTTTTCCTGATGCAAGTACCAATCGGGATTCAACCTAAGGATAGTCTTTAAACTTAGCTGTGCAACCATTACTTTAGCTGGCATACCACCATGAGAATGAAAGACATAACAACATCAGAATAGGCAAGGGTAAAACAATCACCAGGTCGTGCAAAGAAACTAGTGTCTCTGTCCATGTTGTTGTTACTGCTGTCCCGACTACAAACCCCTTCTACAAGCGGAGGCATCCTGGACATGGCCGGTGCCTCCGCAAGATGACTGCCTGAAGCGCTAGGAATGGGTCTCACTTGTGGCTGTGTAGCACCCTCGATTCCCATAGAAACAAACTCTGTGCTCTCCAACGCTGCTCCTCAGCTGAACCTACCAAAGCTATCAAACGCCGCGGGCCTTCGTATCATACCAACATTGGTGCACTGATCCACTACGCATGCCACCACGTCTCTCGCTCCGTACTCTAAACCCTCCCAACGTCTACACGCCTCCACCTCGGCTGATCTTCTTGCACTATCCCAATCCTCCGCTTCGTTCCCCACGCTGCCAACTAAACCACGCTACGCCTCCTCCTCTCCACACAATACCTCCTCACACCACCACTCACTGTCCAAAACAACCTTCTCAAACTACTCCCCGAAATCCACCATTCTCCTTGAATAATAAACAATCATCCCACTCCTCTCCCCGAACCGGCAACAGACACCGACCCGCTTCAGCACTTCCTCGTCGTCGTCTCTTGCGGATTAGTCCCACGCGGCGAAATTAATAGCTCAGTTTAGAAGAGAGCCCGATCAAGAAATTGAGGAGAAACGAAGGAAGCGAGACGTTTAATAAAGGAGATGGCGAGTGTTCATCGGCCACCACGAGGAAGCAAGTGCGAAGGGGAAGTCGTATGGAGGAAGGGGTCGAGGACGACGACGATGCAAGCAAACCAAACCAAAGGCCAAGCCACGTAAAGCAAATGTGGGGCGCTAACACCCACGTGCTTGGTGGCCTGCCCTCCCCATTCAATCCCAACGACGCGATCCCCCATGCCCGTGCTAAATTCCTCGAGAACTTCGCGTTCCCCATCGTGATGAGGTGCGCTCCTCTGTTGTGCGGCTGTGGGTGTCACCGCGCCGGATTCGAATGCACGAGGCGGAACCACCGCATTGAAGGGTCGTGCAGCTAATTTTACTTTCTTGTTTTTAGGGTCGTACCCGTTCACTGAGCATGTGACGTCATCGGCCGGGTTGGTTGGGCAACGCGGGTGACCTCAGCAAAAGCTAGGGCTTCGGTGACCGTGGATGGATGGATGTACTGGGATTGCACCGAATACCGAAGATGAACGGATTGGGTGCTGCCTAAGACCGTGAATAATGGTTTCGCCCTAATGGGTAAACCTTGCGCTATTGCATTTACAAGAGGGGGGGGGTCAAATTAAATATTACAAAAAAGTTAACATCTTAATCAATACTGTACCTTCACCATACAACCATACAGTATTCATTCATATATATATATATATATATATATATATGCACCTCAGTATTTTTGTATCAAAATTCGATACGTTTTTTGCACTCTTTTCCTCTCATTTTTTATTAGTTTTATTTAGTAATGTCATTTATAGGTGTCCGTTCTTCACAACCAATCAAAACACTTCTTTGTCTTTTTATATTATATCCAAGTTGTATAATACAATTGATAGAAATTTGATTTTTTGATTAATTTTAAAATATAATATACAAATTCTAGTATAGTATAAAACATAAGAATGGTTGTATTTGTTATATTTAACAAAAAAAATCATGTGAGATTTGATCTTATGCTTGGTATGAAGAATACGATTATTTAAAAAGCCTCTTGTAAGATAACACAAGTAATATAGTAGGTGATTATTGTAAAATATTGTTAGAGACAACCTTTATAGACAACCTCTAGAGTTGTTGACATATTCTCATTTTTATTTTATGTAAATAAATCCGTTAATATTCAAAAGCCAATGAATATGTCAATTTTTTCTATTATAGTGCACGTGTCTAATGCTTTTGGCTATTTCTATTAAGTACCACATGTGCCACAAATTCCTAAAAGTTTGTCTTTTATGGTTTGTAATAAATTATTAAAATCAAAATTTTAAAGAATATTTTAGTTGTCCTACTTGACAAGTATAGTTGTTTTTTTGTAAGTAGAATGCAAGATGTTTTTAAAGTCCTTTATTTTTTTATTTCTTTTTTTTTATACATAGATGACATTTATTCATGGCTAATTAGTAAAATCTATGTATATTTTGTTAGTAAACAATACTCATTATAAAATTATTTTTTTGTATTACTATTATTTTTTAATCCACTTTTCCTATTAAATATTTTAATAAAAATAGTGTATGTTTTTATTTTTATATGTTTGATAGATATAAAAGTAAAACAATTGAAATTCCTTGATGGACTTGCATAAAATTTTGATAAGACCTTACACTTTTAAGAGCTTTCAATCCTCTTGATAAAAATTAAATAAAATCTTAATGATTAATATCTAATATCAAAGTTCTCTTTAATGTTTTTACCTTAATAGAATATGCTCATAAACAATTGACAATTTAACATGTGATTTTTAAGCAATCAAATCCAATTCAGTATTTCAAAAGTACAAAGTGATTGTGATTCACTACTATAGGTTCTATGCACAGGAACACATTGATAAATAGTATGTTGGGATCAAAATCCATTATTGTTTTCAACTTTTTTGAAAGCAGCTTTTCTTTTTTGGCTAGAATATATTCAAATGAGATAGTCATGGTGCAATAGTTCTATCTTAATCGAAACACACACTAAAGACCCAAGTATGCAAGTGGCTATTTTTGTTAGAAGACTTAGAACTTCACCCAAATTATTTCTTTCATTCTTGTTTATTTTTTGACCAAACATATGTATTTATTTATATTAAAAAACACAAAGTTAAGTGTTTTATCCAGAATAGGGCTTTGACAAAAGCATCAATAATAAAACAAAGCAAAAAAAAAAAAAAAAAAAAAAAAATTGGAAAAGTGAAAAGGAATAATTACATACAGTACACGACCACGTTCACATAAATGTAATAAACATATAATGGATTTTTTTGTACACATTGCTGTAAAAGAAAAAACAACGAACACTTATTACTTTTACTTTTTCTTTCCAACCATGCACACACTGAGAGCCGTCTTTCGGGAACGATGGATCGCGAAGATTACAGAAGAGTTCTCAATGGATACGCCATCGTATTATCATACGAATACGGAGCACGCTTATATGGCACGTTTTTGTAGCCATATATAGAAAGATGAGCGAGGTTTCACACTGACCAGGGGTGTGGAAGATGCCATCGTGGCAGTAGAATCGTACCACGTGGTATCTGACGTGGACGTAGGAGAACCCTAATTTGGGGGAGGCAGGCCCACCTCGCTGCGGAGATGAGGAAGGGCTGAAGAAGTTTGAAGAAGAAGAAGATGAACCATGTGCGGATTGCTTTTGCGGGCGGGGACGATAGGTGGTTAGCTCATGCTTCCTTTTCCTAATTTTGAAACCCATCTGAGTCAGCATCGCCGGCTTTGGATTTCGTGGTGTTTTATAAGCACATTGGGCGGAGAAGTCGTTGGGTATTTTCTCGATTTTCCAGAAATCCGGTCCTGAATATAGTCAGATAATGCAAAATTTTGGAAGAGTGATGTTTAGAATCGACGATTTTGGAGGAGGGGCGGCCTGTGGCCAGACAGAAGTTTCTGAAAAGTTTTTGCGTCGGTGCAGAAAACACATGTGTTTGGACTTTGATTGGTTTTATGTTTTGGTGTAAAGATTCCTGACAGTTATGGGTCTTTCCTTCCAGTTTTTCTCTCTTCTTTCTACTACTTTTTCCTGTGTGTAGCCGCTTCTCTTTTTTTCTTTTAACTCCCAACAAGTACAGTACACGTTGATGCTTCCGAACTGCTTGGTTGCTACGGAGTTTCTCATGCGTTTTTGAATCCGAGGTGCTGCAGTTCTTTATTGAGCTCGGAACCTACCACTTACTTGGATGATATGGAAGCTGTTGGCACACTTTGTGCAGGTGCATCATTTTGCCATGTGCCCCGAGTTTTGGGGAGAATACCATTTTGTCTGGAAATTCGAGCCAAGTGGTCGATTTCTGGGGCAGCAGGAGTAGGAAAGCTCCATTATATACATTTATAGCAGTGGAGAAGAAGTTTTGGGGATGGGATGTTCAGAGAGGCATCATGTTGATGCTTTGTGGTCTTGCGACATTTGGAATTCGAAGAGGACAAGGTGATGTGCCCAAGCGATCAGAGAAATAGCTTCTCAGGTTATTCTAATGTGACTCTGACGGAGCTCCTCAATGTTCATTTGTGTTTACTGTGGAGGGTACACCACAAGTGAAGCATGTTGTGGAGTGATTACATACCCCTCTAAAAAAAACTGTTGCATCTATCGACCCAATGTCGATGCCGATGAGTGATGTGCAGAACATTGTCAAGCAAGCACCGACCTGTGACAGAAACGTCAGAAACGGGAAGACTAGTCGAGGAAGTCCTGTGCCACTGACAAATACGGGAGAAATTGTTAGCAAATATTCTTGCAATGAAGAAAGTGCATGCAAACATCTCAAAAGGTAAACTTGTGGAAAATCTGACCTAGGTCAACTCTTTCAACAACACTATAATATTTCCGCATACTGCTCCGATGTGGCGAGGTAATGCTCCTGGCTATAAACAATCTCGGCAACTGAAGCAGGAAATCCTTCACGAAGAAAAATTACTCCAAGCAAGCACAGTTTGTGAGGGAATACACATTTGCATGAATGAAGAAATAGTAACAACGAGTGACACCATCATTCAACAATAGAGCAATCCAATCCAGTAAAGGCTACTAAAATAACGATGCAACGATGTGCTTACCGACACAACAAGCCCAAACCTGGCCGAATAGTATACAACGGAAAGCTTATTCAAAAATTTAAGATATATATATATATATATATATATATATTTTACTATGTTTTAAAATAATATAAAATTTTAGAAAATAAGGAATGGACATGCCAAACCAAGGTGGCCCAGGATTCTATGATCTTGCCACAAAAGTTGGACAACATGAAATTATTGGATCTTGCATTTGTTCTTTTGGCTAAACTTTTCATTTGAGGTTTGTTGCTTGACTCAACACCTTGGCAAGAGCTCATTAAGCATCATCTCACCTTATTTCATCCCAAAGGTGGAAGTCGTCTCTCCACATATTGTTATGTGCCAAAATGAACAAGTCTAACAACACGAGGTTACCTGAAGATTTGGGAACAATGACCAAGACTAGATAAGAGAGACACTCATAATACCACAGTTGTATTGTAACATATCCATTAGGTGAAAGAGGAAAAAAAAGATTATAGTAGATAGGAACTTAAATGAAAATATTTTAGCAAATTATCTTAGAAATATAGATAATAAATAAGGAAGTAGTAAAAATTACTAAATGCTAATGATGCCTTTTGAAAAAAAAGACTTTTACTTACTTTGTAGGGCCATAAATGAGAAAAATAAAAATAAAAAACAGTTGATAAAAGCATCTTTAGAAAGGAGTTAAGAGTAGTTTTAAGCAAAAATTACTTAAAGAAACCAATAATAGATACCTGAAGAGGACCAAATATGAACTAGAATCAAAATCAAACCATGTGGTACAAAACCATGCACCTATGACAATTTTGGGGTTCTTTGATTAATTGAAAAACAAAGTATGAACAAAAAGTTGTGAGGAGTTCTTTGGTAATTGATTTTGAGTGATTTGAGTTTGTATTAACTTTGTAAATATTTGATTGGTTAGTATTTATGAGATGTAACATGTAGTTTCTGTTTTTGTTTATTAGTGGTTACAGTTGCATTGGGGGTAGTTTCATGTAATGTGAGAGGGCTCCCATAGCTATGCTTTGTGATGAGCACAGCTTTGCTAATATACTTGTTTGTGGATGTTCATGATTGTTACAACATGTGCTTGAGCATGGACTCAATCACAAGCGAAGTGAGATTATTACAAAGCTGGCTGGGCAAATTGTACAAATGAGTCGGCATAAGTTCACATCAAACGTGGTAGAAAAGTGCTTGGAGTATGGTGGTCCAGTTGAACGGCAAATATTGATCGATAAAATGCTTGGCCACACTGATGAGAACGAGCCGCTTCAGGTATGGAGTTTATTGTTGATAGTGTGATAGGTTACTTTAAACTCTGCGTTAATTGGCTGCCAACTGATTACATCATCAGAGTAAACATTTGCATTTCGTTTTGGATTTGTACCTGTGGAGGAAACTGATTTGTGTTATGGTGAATGCCTCAGTTGTTTCCGGTATGCGTATGAGTAGAGTGATGTGATGCAAACAATGATGAAAGACCAAATGTTTGCAAACTACGTGGTCCAGAAGGTGTTGGAAACCTGTGATGAATCTCAACGCGAGCTGTTGCTGGGTCGTATTCGGGTTAACTTACATGCATTGAAGAAGTACACATACGGCAAGCACATTGTCGCACGCGTGGAGAAGCTGGTTGCTGCTGGAGGTGATTTTCCCGTTCTAAACTTCAAACATATGTCACCTTGGTATCGTAGTGTAGAGAGATTAGTTCGATGATTTTTTTGGATTCATACCTCTGCAAAGATTTCGGTGAATCTGCTTCATTCGTGATTTGGTCCCATCCATTGTTTTCCGATGCTCCTGTTCGTTGTCTCCCGTGATTGTCTGACTGGAGTTCCTGCTGTGTACAGAGAGACGGAGTGCTGCCTGTATGGCACACATGTCTAATTGAATCTTTGATGGATATCATGGCCTATGCTGACTTCTTTAGTAAAGGAAAGGAACATGGATCAGGCTGTTTCTTGGAGGACTAGAAGTCACGTCTTCCCTCGCTCTTTTGTCATTAATTAACTTCTTGTGTCGTAAACAACGTGCGAGCGAGCCGAAGATAGTTGGGCTGTGGTGCAGTGCGGGGGAAACATTTGTGAGCAGTAAATAGTGTAATGGTGTAGGATTTACACTCAGATTGTATTGATGGTCAGGAGAGACGCGGGGTGAGGGCTGTTGCAGCTCTCGCATCGGCACGTATCGTATGTGGATTCGTGTCGGTGTCTGGTGTATTTATAAGTGATGGTGCTAGATATTTGGAGATTGGAGCTCTGGGAGTAGTGCCTGTGTTCCGACCTACTTTCGATCCTACCCTTCGTTTCTCCTGGGTAGTGTGATTTAAAAGTCATGCAATTAGACATGGAAAAGACTTGTTAATGGGTACAGAGTGGTGTTAGAGTGATGAGAAGGAAAGGGTCGGGGCAAGGTGTAGCTGTAACGGGTGTGTACAAAGAGCAAGTGTCCTCCGTTCCGAAGTTCACAGACTGACTACAAATCTGTTCTTTAATCCGAGTTTTGTGAACTTGTACTTTGTATATATGCAACTTGTGAACCATTTTTGTTTAAACCCTCGGAAGCTGGGTCTTCAAAATGTTGAATCCCTGAAACCATTCGAAACTGAAAAATTATACATACTCGTTTACTATGGTCTGTATTCCTTGAGGAGGGTGGTGCCCTGATGTTTTGAGTTAGTGTGTTAAGCTTGGTGATCAAAGTTGAATATTTTATTTTGCATATGATGTCTCTAAAGAATGTAATCGCGTAACTGGTATTGATGAGAGGATAAATCTATGAATTTGTGAGGTAACTACAATTACAAAAATGCATGACAAAACATATTCTGGCCTACATTATACACAGCAATTTCACAAAGGATTATTTTATTCTGCTTTGGTTATGTTTTTGAGCATGAATAATGCTTGTAATTCATTTGAAATGATCTCTTAAAACTGAACGTGATAATGTTTTATTCCATAATCTTAGAATTCTTTTAATGAATCGTAATTTACAAATGACTATTGTTTTTACGAAACCAAATCATATCTACACCAGCTGTAGATCTGATTGATTCTACATGGTTGTATTTTTATAACATTATTGAATGTTTGAATATGGTTTCAAATGAATGCCTTAATTTGTTAATTTTATGATATTGATATTATCATTAATATCAATATTGTAGATCTGATTAATAATATGATTGAAGTTGTGGTGAATGTTGAGGACCCAATTAATAATATTAGTGCCAAGTGCTAGATAATATTGCTTATAAGGTATTTTATTAGATAGAATGGAATATTTATTTAATATTTAATATTTTTAAGTATCACTAAAATAGATGCCTTTAGGATTGTCATTTTTATCAATTTAACCACTGTGATTTTTTTTTTTTTTTTTTTTTTTTTTTTTGTAGAAAATCAAACCCTTATTTCTCCACCCAAAACAAAAATTTTCCAAAAATAAACCTCAAGTTGACGGTTTAAGGTATTCCGACGTCATCAGGGTTCCCACGTCGCGCAGATTCCTGCTTCGTCGTCGTCCATGCGCGTTGTTGCTTTTGCACGGATTTTAGCTCGCATCGCATGACTCTTCACCCCAACCTCCGCTTCCGAGACTCGTGACTGGTTCATTTCAAACCCCTCCAAGCTCGATCTGTGTGGAAACGGCGCTGATTGTCGGCAGGTGAGGTTTTGCTTGGGTGCGCTTTTTGTTCGATTGCTTCACGATTCCGTGCCGCTCGTATGACTGGATCGTTACGCAAGAGGCTGTGCTTGGAGATTAGATGGTTTGTGGAGTTGGGTTGTGTTGTATTCGAGAGGTCGTCTTCTCATGAGTGATAGTTTCGAATGCGTCAGATTATGCCTGGATTGTTGCTTGGGTTCCGGCTGTGGATGAGTGCCATTACAGGTTTTGAAGTGCAGGTAAAGGTGGCGCTTAGGCTCGGGTTGTTCTTGTGGCCTGTTAGTCAGCTGTAGCGTCGATTGGGGATTCTGAGACTGGTTCGAATTTATGTTGTTTGGAACGTCGTTGTGTATGTGCCGTCATGGATGCGAATGCAGGTTCTGCTACCACTGCGTAGTTGTTTGTTTAGAAAGGGTAATTGCGAATGCGATTTGGGATTACTGGTGTTTTTGAGTTTCCAAACATTCTGAGTGTCTCGCGCTTATGAATTGCGGTTGTCAGCAGTGTTGTACGCATCTGCTTCTCTGTGGAGAGCGCATGAATTGTAGATAGCTCGAGAGTTTGTTTGCTTTCTGGTCACAACCTGGACTCCTCTGTTTTCCTTCTGAATGGGCTCTCGTGCTGAGGTTTGTGGATTACACATTCGTCTTTGTTGACCATAAGTACACCCATTTGAGTGTCTTGGATTTGTTCCAATTATCGTCTTTTATTGTGATTATGCGGTATTGTTTGACTGAAGGCGCTTCCAAGCCACTACAAATTTTAAGTGAATTGAACTTCCAGCTTGTTCATGTCAGGGTATTAGCATTCACTTAATCCTTCTCATTTGATTCGAAAATTCAACGAGGAGCATTTAATTTTAAACATATTTTTGAATTTTTAAATATGTTAAAGCAAATATTTCGTTTTGAGTGATTTCGCAGTGCCGTGTCTTGTCTCATCTGTACGCTTGCTACGTGGGTTACTTGTTGCGACATTTATGTCGTTGGGTGACTGCAGATTTGGTCACAATCATGGTGGGTGCCCACGGCAAGGCGCAGACGGTCACTATGATGGACAAACGAAAAGCCATGGAGACAGAGATGGATGCAATTATCGCTCGTCTCACTGGGCCAGGAGGACCTGGTCTGCAGGGTAACCTAGTTGACGCTCAAGTGTGCTCCTTATCGTTAGTTGGCTCTAAACACTGTGGGTTCTAGGGGATTTAAGCGCATCACTAGTACTGTGAGAAAAAAAAAAAAAAAAAAAAAAAAAAATCTCCCTAATTGACGCATTGGTCAAATTTGTAAAATCCTCATGTTTTGGAGTATAATTCTGTATGTATTCAATTAATGCACTGTTGGTAATGTGAAGTGTACATACATACATACATACATACATACATATTTTTGTATTAGGGCTTTCCATGGGCAGATGTTAACTTACCTGCGGTAAGATCCGATCGGCAGCGGCTATCAGGTGAAGCTTCCTTCTCCTTTGGTGTCTTCTTTGGGGAGATTTTGGCATGAGGAAGTGACGCCTTGTTTTTTGTACATTAATGAAAGAAGCTTTAGTTGGTAGAATTTACCCTTCTGGTTGTTATTGCTGCTATCTTAATTCCAAGCCGCTGTACAGCGCTTCGCAATGATCATAAGGAGATCTCGGACGCGATCGAAAAAAATCTGGTTATCTTACATTCTGGAGGCTTCACGAGAGGGTCATCACAGTCAGATAAGCTTCCAGGTCTAACAGCTCACACTATCCGTTGATTATATGATGATCAATGTGATTGTTTAGCTGCGAAGGACTATTTGGATGTTATAGACGGAATATCTTGTTGCAACGGTGTATGCTGATACTTGTTTGCAAATGAAAAGAAAAGTAAAGAATAGTGAGAGGCTACCGATCAATTTGTGAGTTAATACATGCGTTGAATTGCTGGCAAATTTGAGATTGCGTTTTACTCCATCTCTCAACAAACACTCCTGGAGTTTTAAGATGTTCTGTTGCTCGTCTTCCACATAGACTGACTTCACAAACGTGAACCTCAGAGGCTGAGGTGGTGCGGCCATCATCAGGAGCATCACCCATGGAAATAGCACCAGGGACTGAAAGTACAACCGCAGAATCGCCTTCCCCGATGGATGAGGATTCATACGAATCCAGTCTTCCTTTTGCAGTTTTTGATGATGTTACCCAAGGCTCGCCAGCAGCGATGGACGGCATCTTGATTGGAGACCAGCTAGTGAGATTTGGAAGTGTGGACGGAGGGGAAAATCTCCTATCCCGGCTTGCACAGGAGGGTCTCACCAACGAGGGGCGAGGTCTGCCGGTAATTGTGCTTAGGCTAGGTGGACGTGTATATTTGACAGTCACGCCCAAGAGGTGGTCAGGCCGTGGCCTACTTGGGTATGCTCTCTTTTAAAACTACTTCCAATGCGATTTGACCTCTTGAATGTACAACACATGTAGAATGTTTAGACATCAGAAAGTGAAGTAAGAATTCGCACACCGAGCTGTTACTTTGTGTAGTTTCTTTTTCTTTTTGTTTTTTTGTTTTTTTTCTCTAAAATCGTTATTGATATTTGAAACCCGTGTTGTTGGCAGGTGTCACGTTCAGCCTCTATGATGTATTTTTGAGAGACAAGTTTTTAGTGCTACTGATTCTGTCTTTGATGTATGGAGAGGGAGTGCTAAGGTTGCAATTAGATCTACACATGCGTACCCAATCTGGGGCAACTTCTTGTTTTGAAAGGTTTAGTTTTGCTAATGAGACTTTTTGATGAGAATAGGAAGCTTTTCTGAATCAAACAAATATCTAACTCTAGATGATTCGAACACTACAAGGCATATTCAACTGACTTCAAGGACAAGTTTCCAAGCTTGACTCTTCAAACCGGAGCTTCAAACGAAGCACTCAAGTAACAAAACTTAAACGTCTGTATTAACAAATGTTGGAAAAAAGAACCAAAAACCAAAAGCAAGAAGTGAAATGAAATGAAATGACAGAAAAGCAAAAAGGTAAACAAAGAGTGTAATACTACAAAAGTTTCCGGGTCTCTAAATATATCCTGTAGAAATTTACAGTAAATCCATCTGACATAAAACCGTCTTCCAACTCTGCCAAACAAGAGTTCTCTCAAACCAAATTACAGATACATACACATTCTGCCGAGGAATTTCCAATAGCAGAAAAAGATCTATGATCTAAATATCATCTTGGCTTGCTCTGCCTGATGATGAAGTTCTCGTCCCACAGTTTACACATACAAGTTTGACGCTTGTTCCTCCATTTAGCTCCACAAGAGTAGCAAAACTCATTGCCGCATCTGCGAACCGACAAAGCAGCGGGCTATTACATGGATATACAATAAAAAAAAAGTATCATGTAAATTGTGCATTAAGAATTATGCAAGTCCCCAGTGTGTATCTGCAACAGAGAAAAGAGGATTGGAGCTGCAAACATACAAGTTGGTATAGGGCTCATGTGTAGAATTTAGGATGGAATCGCTTACAAGCAAGTCATATGGAAGCATCCATACTTTAGTTCGATAACTCGCTTGCATTCTGTACAAATCTGCCAGTGTTTCCGCTTGACGAGATCTCGCAATTTCTCGTCTCCTGAGCGGTGTCTATTCTCAGCATCTGCCCGGTACTCACCACAAGTCTGGTTTGCGTGCCACGGAATGTTGCATTCCAAACAGAATCCACGGTGGCACGACCAGCACTCGACGAATTTCTCCCTGGGTAGATCTTCGGACTTCTCCATAAATGCCGAACAATCTTTGAAGGGGCAGTACAACTTTAGCGAAGAGGGGATAGCAGCTTCCATTTGTCTGGTTTCAAGAATCTCGAAACTCTTTTGGGACAGCAGAAGCCGGCACTGCTGCATGTCGTAACAGTGACAGCAGTTTTGATGAGGACATTCTATGTGAGAGTTCCCGTCTGAGATCTTCACTTCCGCATGCTGTGTGATACAATCGGAGCAATAATCGTGATCACACCCTGCAAAACATCATCACTTCGCTGAGCAAATCAAAAGTGACTTTCCAGTTACATGAATGATCGCAGTACTCTTTTTCGTTTAACTGTCTAACATGTCGTGACTCCAGAAACTATACAATTCGATTATTACAATCAAGGCGAGAAAGAAAATATTCCTTGCTGAAACCAGAACCCTTCGGAGCTCACCGTTCGTGCTAATGAATGAGGTGTGCGGTCGAATCTCGGCACAAATACTGCACTCGATCTCCACGACGGCTTCCGTGTAGACACTGCTTGAGCCAGATGTGCTGCATTGTAAACCATCTTGTGTCGATTTCACATCTATACCTACAGTAGGTCTCACATTGGGGCCAAAAACAGAAAAGGGCTTCCCGTTCGACCCGGTGATGTTACTCGGTGAAACCATGGATCCTGTACAGCTACAACAAGGATGTAAGAAAATTCAGATGTTCTTGAGAGCAAGTTCACATTGAAACTCTGAACAACTCAACGTCGATACTAGTACAACCAGGAAATTAAGGAAATCGGCACCGGATTGCTGTTCGCTGGAGTTTCTAGTCGAAGAAGACGAATAAGATGCCTGCAAAGGAGTCGACGCTTTGTGGTTCGGTGCCAAAGACTCAGCCAAAGCTTCTAATTGCAGCTGGTAAGCGATTTCTTCATCATCTCCGTTAACTGCGGCTGCTGGGCTCATCACCCTCGCTGGCGTTGCACAAGAACTGTTTCGGTAAAATGCAGACATCCTGACGGCACCGGCAATAGTACTCTGAAACAGAATGCACCCTTTGCAAGGTCCGAAACCAAGATTATTGTGGTGACGACTCACAATCCCCAGCCTACAATCTTTGCTACGTGGGTCAAATTCGCCAAGGATAACGAAGACAATATTCTAGGTTTCAAACGACTCAAGAAAGAAGAGCTGCTCGAGGTTGGCGTTCTTGAACATAGGAAACGCAGACAGGAGAGGCATTTCTAGAGCAGTGTCCTGCCACCTCATTTTCAAGCTGCAAAATTCAAAAAGAAAAAACTACGGCAAAAACAACTCCAGTTGCTGCTACAGAGAGTTGAGTCTAACTCCCAGATGAAGAGACCTTTTTGATCTGGCTGCAGTTTTAAGAGCATTCTACTCCAGACCCACAAGACGCTTCAGCAGCGGAGTGCGCAACCGAAGCGATTAGGCTCCCTGCTCCATCGCCGCCACTAGCAACAGCAGCACAACCTCAACAACACCAAAAACAACATCACACAACAACCAACCCTAACCAACTGCAGTGCCGGAGATTCAGAGAAGCAGCAAGTACCACTGCAGTCAGTCTCGCGAGGTGGGTGTCAGAAGTCCCCAATGGCCTTCATCGCAAGCCACAGTTTTGTTGAGATTCTCATGTCGGTACACACACACACACACACTGTACCCTTCTTCGAACTGCTTTTACTCCCTCTTCATTTGATCATATTTTCATGTTTTGTCACACATGTTTTCTGTGTACATTCTCTGCTGTCGTGGTGGATCCTTAACCTTTGAGCACATAAATAGCTATTAAGAACTTCACTTAATGTCTTGTTTAGGTTGGAGATCATTGTTTCGATTGATATTCTGTATTGATTTGACAGAAATAAAATTCTGTATTGATTTGACAAAGAATTGATCTAATGGATGGAAGGATTTGTTCATGTTGTTCGTTTGTTTGTTTTTTTGCAAATTTCTTCCATGCTTCTTTTTTATTGTTGAGTTGTTGCGCAAGAACTACATGTAAAATATCGCACAATGAAAACATTTAGTGCACCCAAGGGAGAGTTCAATAAAAGAAAAGAGAATTGAAAATGATGAGTGGGGTTTTAAAGTTGTTTTTGATTTCGAATGACTGTGAATAGTTAATAAAATATAACCATTTTATCCCAATTCCTGTTAATAAAATATAACCATTTTACACCAATTTCTGTTGATAAAATACCTGTTTTTATTTTAATCTTCATCTTATTCTTTTGTAATATGAATATTAAGTCCCAACATGGGATTTTGAAATAATTTTTTATTTGATAGTAAGATGTTTCCTAAACCAGTTAATGCAACAAACGTATAATTACAAAGGAAACTAAAATTTGCAAAGAAGAATAAGAGTTTAAGGGAGTAGGAGAAGGTTTAAAAAAATGAGGTAGAAGTAAAAATTTATACATGGATTTATAATTCTATTTTTAAATTTACACACACACACACACACATATAGATATATATATATATATATATATATATATATATAATATACCAAAATTAGACAAATAAAAAAATTATAATATTAAAACATAACATTTTAACAAATAGAAATAAAAAAGAATCTTGGACATAATTTGAATTAAATTAACATCTAATTTATTTTAAAATAAAATAAACTAATATTTTAATTTTATAATTAATATTTTTATATTTGATTGCTTAAATTTTATAGAAATTATACATCTATTATTTTATTGAATATTATTTTTAAAAACATTGTTGAAGTCCTATAAGTGGGGATTCAATCAATTTTGGCAAATTTAGTACACTAACATCAAACCAACTCTCTATTCTTTTGACACATACTTAACAATATAATTCTAAAAAACAAAACAACTTATTAGACTAATCCATTAAATTTTTTGATTTTAAAGTTAGACTTAATTAAGACCTACAAATGCATACTTTGGAAATTTTAATGTAAGATTATATAATTTATGAAACTAAGACTTAATTTTATTACAATAAGATTTGTTTTTATTTTCAAGAGTTAGAATCTTAATAAATATAATTATTATCTTTTCAAAAACCTTTTCTATTCAACAAGAGAATAGAGAAGATTATTCATTAGCATCTTATTTATTTCTTATTATAGATGATCTTGTAAACTTTAACTTCACAAAATTAGTTTATTATGTTAGAATCAAATGCATCTCTCTTTATCAAGTAATAACCTAAGTTATCATCAATTAGTATGCTAATAACTCTAATATTTTCTTAAAATCTTGAAAGACCTTTGAATATTTTGTCTTGTATTTATCTTAGCCTTTAATCAAGCCTTAGAACTCACAATTAATCAATAAATTTTCTAAGCCATATAATGCTCTCTGTCTTCTAAACCTCTTTGAACTATCAAATATTACTTCAAATGGACTAATCAAGAAAGAATAAAAAGAAACAATTAAAAACCACATCTGAAATTAACATTAAGTTTCTACTTAAAAGATTCAATAAAAACCAAAATTTTGGCATCCAATTTAATTACACCTATAAAATAGACTATTAGTAGTTAATTATATTACTTTAGTTTCTATGATCTATTTTATCATGGTTTGAACTAGCTCACTTAAAGCCATGCAAAAATATCAATGCCTTACAATTTAATTCTTGTTGGGCTAGAAATTGTCCAAAATATAAGCAACAATATCTTAATACATTAATAGGAAATACATCTAAAAATATGGACGTAATCTTTTAGATCTAAAAACTTTCTTAAGCTCTATTTTAATATAATGAGTCCTTAAAGCAATAATTCTAGAATAATCTAATCTTTAAACCTCACTGAGATACAAACAATCCAAATCCAATTAATAATAATAAAAATTTCAAACATTTATTGGATAATAAAATCAAAGTCTATTTTTACAAATGGCTCAAAAGTTTGATAAATAGTTTCTAAAATTTAAAAACTTGTGACCAAATATTTAAGATACAAGGCCCCTAAAAATTTATTTATTTTATTCTCCACTATTTGTTTTGGTTTAAAGGACAACCTCATTTCATAGATTCATGTATTTTTGGAGTCCATGCCTTTTATCTTTATTATATTAGTATTTGTCAAATCAAGTAGATGTAAAGTCAAAAAACTCAATTACTTTTGGAATAATACAACATACAAATCATATACAATCTAGACTTTTTGGTCTTTGATAATTTAAAGTAATCTGATTTCTTAAATTTTTTTGAATTCTCTTCTCTTCTTTTCTATAGCAATGAGAATAAGTGCGAGTGAAAGAAAAAGAGAGAGAGAGAGAGAACAAGAGTACAATGCCTTCCATAGCTCACTATATATCCTATGTGGTGGACACTTTGGATATTTTTTGAATAATTTTCAAAGTGTTTACTAGCACTAGTGCTTAGCTTTGTAGAATTACAATAACTTATACATATTGTTCAAATATTCATAATACAACTTTGTTTTATATATATTTCTTTGTATGTGTGAGATTTTTATTTGTTTTTTTAACAACTACTTAATAGTAGAAGAAATATATATATATATATATGAAAAAACCTACATGTGACTAATATCATTTTATTCTACAATATTTTAGGCAAAAACTCCAAAACCATCTTGTCTTCTTCAATATTAGAGTTATAGAATAGCAAGTCCCAAAAGATAATAAAACATCTCCATTAATCTATTTTGGGCCCCTATTCAACTAAAATTAGGATCTTTAAAGACTACTTTGGACCTTGATTTTGTAACTTAGGTACTTATATTAATAAGAATGTAAAGAAATTACTTAAAGATTACATCCTTCTACCCTCTATTCTAACCACAATATAAAATAGAGTACTTTTCTACTACTTTTCTATTAGATGGCAACCTTTATAAGATAAGATAATGGCTATAAAATAATTTATCTTAATATGATATGTGTAGCTCAAAGAAATAGCTATCAATGCATAATGCCAAAATTTAAGTTGTAGAATAATAGAAATTGAATGTTTTCTATTCTAAAAATAAAATAATACATATTTTACAAGTTTTGGGAATGTAGAGTAGTTCAAAGAATGTGGAAGGAGGGCACTATTTTCTTCTATTAACTATGATTCTACTAGCCTTTCAAATAACTACGGCCTTCTTTAAACCTTTAAAAATTGATTTAGTTAGTTCAATCTATTTGATTTGAGACATAAAGATCCAATAGCCTTTATTTGTTAGAGCTTAGATTTGAACAATTTATAAATAAAAATTCACAAAGATTTTTAAGAAGTCATGTTAGTCAATAGAATAGAACTTAATAATATTGGTCTATTTAATTAAATATAAAATACTATTGGTATAGAACAAAGGAAAGAATTTGAAAATATCCTTTTAAAAAGTCCAAAATTTAAAAACTTTATAAAACTATGGATTTGAGAGAACAAATTAAGCATAATGAAGTTAAAAAATTCTAAAATATAGAATACAACCCCATCTCAAACAATTGATATTCTCTTCATTGTCTTTGAGTCTTGAGCATGATTTGAAGAATATGTAACCTATTGTCTAAAATTAATAGTATGAAAGTACACTCTCTTAACTTCTACAAACAAAAAAATTAAAAAATTAAAAACTTTAAATCATAATAAAACTTTTTAATTGTATCAAAAATATGTTAGAATACTTTCAAAACAAAATCATCAATAGCAATCACTTATTAATTAACACTTTCATTGTCTAAATTGTCAATCACATGTAGTCACAATTTATTTTACTTATTAAAAAAATGAAATCTTTACACATTTATAGAAATTTGTATGAACAGACATATTAATAATTTGATTAATTATGAATAAACATGTCAGATATACATACATGTTGAGGTTATTTACGTATTGAAAAAAAACTATGATATTGCATAGTATAATCATGGATACAACTATTAATAAATTATAATATTCATTAAGAACGCAACACATAATTTTTTTTAAAAAAAACTATATAAATATAGCATAAATGTAGATTTAAGATTTTCTCCAAAATGAATAACCAAGTTCCAACCATACATGCCGCATTCTACCTTACAACTCATGTGATTACTGATTTCTTTGTCGTATCCGAAACAGCTAATAATGCTATCCAGCAGCTCATTATGAAGAATTAAAAAACACGGGGATACTTTTTCATAGCACCTGCTGATTTTCAATCAAACAATGGCAGAGTTCCTGCTTTATGAATATTATGATTCCACTTGATAAACCATTACGATCCGTCTTTCATCCTCCGATCAAAGCACTATTCTACACACCACTTTCAATTGAATAATATGCAACTGCTGCCAAGCCAGTGGTACTTCCAGAGTATGCTCTCTTCACTTCAATATGGCTTATAATCTGTAATGATTATAAGCTGGTCAAATCTTTTCGTTGTGGTCTGCTGACCCAGTGCCCAACTGCTCCATCTTAAAACTCTGTTGGGTATGAAGTTGTCACTTACCCAAGTTCTGCCATGCATGTTCTTAGATCGAATACACGGAGCACGACTGGCTCTATGTCGAAAAGGCAGGGAGTTTCAGATCCTTTGTCCTCCACCAAGCACTGCTCTATCTTCATTTAAGAAAATTCACTAGAGATTGGAAGCAATCAATGATAGACCTAAAACAGTTACTCTTTGTAGTATTTGAAACTATTTGATTGAGAGGAGCCATTCATTGGTGGGTTCCGGATAATGTCATCCGGAATAGCATCCAAGTCCAGGCCTTCAGCAGCTGCATCGAAGTGGTGGAAAAATGACGGCTCCATAGTGTCCCAATTGTTATTTAACTCCCCTGGTCGTGCTAACTTCTGCCTGTACCACAGATGAATCAGAACTCATGTCAAGCTAGGAGCATGGACTTCGGAACATTTCACCACACTTTTACCACATCTTGGAACCGTTCTCTACAACAGAGAGAAGACGAGGAGATAATGAGAAACCATCTTTCAAGCAGCCTAAGAATAAAGTAAATCCATAAACCCATGTGCAAACTGTAGGTAATATTGTCATCATGCAAGAGAACCCACCATTCTTGGTCCTCTATCATATCATCAGTCATGCCGAAGGCTCTGAGCTCATCTGCTGAATGATGCATTGTCAAGCTGTATCTGCGTTCAGAAATTCCACATTGACGGTTCCGATAGCTATGCAATGCTTTTTTTCATTTTATTGTAAGAATCTAAAAATACTCTAGTTGTCCATACTAGATACAAAAGATCCATCCACACGTTCTAACGACTGGTACAATAGCAGTAATTCAAGACCTATGTCTGTTCCAGCAGGATTCAGTAGTACTCATGTGACTAAGATTGGAGCAGGTTACTGAAAGGACAACTTCGTTAAACAGCTTACCTGCCTCCAGGTCCAAGCTCCATAACCAGCATCTCCGTGTTTCCAAAGTTGTAGAGACCCTCAAATTGCTCCACGGTCCACTTGTACCAACGCATCAAAAACACTCGAAGTGTCAGGCCGTGCGACACAATGACCAGGTTCATGTTCTTGGAGCGTGACTCTGGCCGCTGAAATCGACCAACATCAATATCTGCTCTCAAAGTTTCTCGAAACCCTGCACAATTTTCAACAAACATCCATTGAACCAGAATATTAGCAATGCCAGCTTTTTTGTCCCAGAAAAGAGATATCAATCATGCACATGGATTGCATCTGATAAAGCAGAAACAAACCACATCGTCCAGACTTAATTCAACAAAATCAATCACTGCACTGAGACATCGTCCCTGAACAAAATGAGGAAAGAAATCTACAGTTAGATTGAGTGTTTGAAATTGCCTGTGATGCGATCATAAACATCTGCAGCGGATTCACCATTCGGAAATCGGTAGAAAAATCGTCCATAACGAAGACGGATAGCTTTCTCAACCCTCATTCGCTCCCTGTCCTGGAAGTTGCCTGCACGAAAGCAACATTACTTTATACTGTTCAGTGCATTCCAACCATAAGAGGGACAGGAAGCAACAGCAGGTTCAACAAAAGACTTAGAGATAATGGCCACCTACAACACTCACCGAAATCCTGCTCTCGCAAACGAGGCTCTTCCCTTACACCTGCTATGCGCTCTCGCTCGAAAGCCATTCCAATTCCACGTAACGTTTGCAACGTGCGCTTGTAAGGTGACACATAAAAGTAAGCTTTCCAGTCATCACTTTGGTCTCCCTCGATGAGCTCCCGTATATCCTTCCCGCACTTCACTGCTTGTTTCCATCCCTTCTCCGTCAGACAGATCTTTGAGTCAGGAATTCGTGTGTAAGCACTTTCATCAACATTTCCTAAGCTTTCACCATGACGCACGAGTATTATTCTTCGTGGTCTAGGCGGCAATCCTGTACACAATGTCATCAGATTCACGAGTTATAAATCATTGCAAGTCCTGGCAGCACAGCAGCATGAATAACGGCAGAGCTCTATAGATCAACAGTGACAAAATATAGGGACAAGACCCTTGTAAAGATGCGTACCAGCATGCTCGGAGAAAAGAGATGCAACCGTCGATTCTGAGAACTCTGCAGGCTTGCCCCTCTGAACAGTCTCCGGTTTCTTGTACATGTACCCCTCCAACTTCCGGACACCCTTGTTACGCCAATTAAGCGAAGGAACCGAGTATGACTGATACTGCAAGGGATTGAAGGGCGGGGGCCCTGATGCTCTGGGTCGCAAAGAAGATGAATTGGGTATCACATAAACATTGCTACTTCTACGAAAATTACATTTATTGACTGAATGACGCACCGACACATTTCGAAATTCGTTTGTTCGTACAACTCCGAACCAATGATCTTGACAGAATGAACACCGGGCAATCGGGGTAGACATCCTGTTGTCTGGCAGCATCACTTGCCCTAATGCCAACTTCACAATTTTCTTTGAAACCTATCAAGATTACAAAATTGAGTCAACTTTTTCTTCGCTACTTCACAATCTCCACCACAGAGTTTCATCCTCCCCCTTCTCCTTTCCACTGCCTCCATGACCAAATCCAACTACGTCGCCATCTCCCAACAAGCACTTCGACACCAAATCTTCCACCAATATCCTAGCTGACGAGGTAGTCAAATCAAAATTTACACTTAATTCCTACAACACAAACCCCTCGCACTCGCATCCCGGGCTACGCGTCATAGTCACCTCAATTACTCAATCCAATCCCTCTTCCATCCAAAAAGTCCCTTGCGGTAATACCAGCCAATATCTCCCAGCTGCTAGAAAAACCCTCACTTCACAGACCGATTCCTCGTCACTCTCATCCTGATCTCTGAATTCTCCTCGTCGAAAACTCGTGCAATCAGAAACACCAGCTGATTCACCTTCTCCGCTCCCACTTACCCAAATTGGCCAATTCAACTGGTCCCCCACACTGCCCATGTACAGATTAACAGACACTGGATTCTCTGCACTGGGCTCCGAACCAATGCAGGGATGAGGTTTATTCTATGGAATGACATGACCTGTGCGACATGCTCTTGCTCCAGCCCCTTCTTTTCTTTTACTCCTCACTAAGCCAGCAAAGCTACCCAAAAGGTCTCAAAAACTCAAAAACAGCAGCGCGAGGGAGACACCCAGGAGCAGAGACCAGGAAGAGCCCAGCGGATCAACAAACCAACGGTGGCCCCACGTTCTGAAGTGACTGACACAATCTTTCCCGCTACTGCACGCCGTTTGTATTGCTTCCGACTGCAGGCCGTCGCAAGCACTCCGCAGTCCCTTTGCGATAATTGGATGTATGTGTCTCACTTTGCAGACAGGCTTGCCCACGGGTGGCGTGTTTCTCTGAAACAATTCTGCTTTGACCCAAAAGTTGGATGTGTTGTCTCACGCACTCCTCCGGGCACTGTTCACATGTGTACCAAAGAGAGTGAAAATGCTCACACTGAAGAATTTCGCTGCAGGGTTCATCGTATTGGTTGGTAGTTGCCATGGAGACAATTTGACTGTGGAAATTTGCAAAAAGTTATTGCATGTTACAATAGTGGGATTACAGTCATTGGTGAGTCGCTGCGGTGGCCAATTCTTCACCAACGACCACTTTTCTATTAGGGATATTATTTTGCCACTTTGAAGTGAGAAGTTGGAGTAATTTGAAAAAATGGATACTGCCATGGCCTGGTGGAGATGTGGCTTTCTAGTGCTGCTATTACTTGAAAACGATAACATGATATAAGTAGCTTTTACAACCGCCTGCGCACTGGATTCAGATTGCACTTGTGAAAACTAATGTGAACTCCCGTCCGTGTGTACATCACCGAGCTGAAATTCCTGTATTGATGGTCTTTCAAGCTTAAACACACTTTAGACATACTAAAGTGCTTGTCTCGAGAAACTCAAGGACAACCCCTTAGAGATGGGCTACTCGTCTCAACAGTTTTCTCAACATTTGCAAAGTCGTACATAAAGAGACTTGCCAACCAACCGCAATAACTAACAAGCTCCCCAAGAAACCAGACTAGATTGTGCTTCTTGTAACAAACTAAATCTGAACCCGCACTTGCACCAACAACACTCATTGAGCATGGTATGGTTCGAACGAAACCTATTCACTGAATGAGTTAACATCAAATTACATGCCTAGGGTCGAATTCTACACTTCCTCAAATCCCTCTTTGCTGTTGACCTTGATTCCTGTTAAAAAACAATCCCATCATCAATCACCTTGACCATCTTCATCACAATGCTAGAAAGTTGCCATGTCATCCTCTGGTCACCATCCATTCTGATTCCAATAAGTTGTATCCTCCATTTTGAAGCAACAATATCTTAAAGTTTCAAATCTACAAAAATGCAAAATACTCTTGAACAAGAAGTCTGTGAGGGCATTGTTGATACTTGTCCTTTTTCCACTCAATCATAGAGAAGTTGAATTTGACAATACTTGTACTAGAAAAAAATGGAAGCTAAATCATCACAAAATCTTTGAAGTTGTAGAAATTGACCATTGCAATGAATTCATCCAATGTGAAATTTTATTTACAAATTTGAAAACTTGTCAATGACATCCTTGAAGGTAATCTCCTTGTGGTAGGTGTGTACCATGACTTGCTGGTTGTTTTCAATATCCTTAATTGATTGAGCATTCAACTTTGCTATTTCCAACTACATCCTATGTTGATGAATAGAAATGCACAATGGAGACATCTATATTCCATATAATTATGAAGCAGGACTTTTAGAATGTTGTTGTTGTTGGCATTGTTGTTACAATCACATTGGGCAATAATGGTGGAGATGTTGTTGATAAGACCACAGTGTAAACCATAGCCAAAGTTTCTACATTATGTCGACCTTGCACTTTGCATAGTAAGACCAACAATTGAATTAAGCTTTTGAGATGGGCTTTCCATTGATTTAAAAAGGTAGTGAGTCCTTGCAAATGTGTCATGATGATGGAGATTACTTTTGCAACATTATTGAATGCAAGCAATACCATCCACTAAGAAGAGGAAGGAATACATGTAGGCTGCTTTTGTATGAGATATTTGCATATCATCGCATGCCCTTGCCACAAAATAATTGGGCAATTTTTTTATAGACGATCACCACATGTCTTTGAATTTTGGATATGTACAATCTATTGTCCTAATGACATTGAATCATTGACAAAAATAAGAGATGATGCTCATCAAGATGTTGACAAACTTGTCATCATACAACTTGATATACTTGGCTTAGAGTATGAGGTCAAGTTGATGTACAATACATTACACCATCACAATCCCATCATCAATCACCTTGACCATCTTCATCACAATGCTAGAAAGTTGCCATGTCATCCTCTGGTCACCATCCATTCTAATTCCAATAAGTTGTATCCTCCATTTTGAAGCAACAATATCTTAAAGTTTCAAATCTACAATAAAAATTATTTTGATTGTCTTAAAATTGAAAAGATGAATGTCATAGAAGTAGAGGTTGTGTAGCTTAGATTGATTCTCAAATCAAACTCAAAAGTCAAAATATGAGGTGCATTACTTTGAGTTGATAACAAGAGTGAGTAAAAATGCCTAATGGATGTGGAAGAGCTTTGTAATATCTTATAAGCTTAGAACACAAATCACATTCTTAAATGAAGCCACTCAATTTTCATTACATCCATTGAAGCAGTTGAAGTGTGATATGGTCTTGGTGATATCTATGAGATGTATTGTCATTTGGAATGAAGCTCTACACAAGACAAAGCCAATCATGAGATAGAATAGACATAAAGATTTGATCTTCACCTTATATGCTTTGCAATTTAGATCCTACTCTCTATCAAGCTCAACCTAGTCAATGTTTGCATCTTCAAACAACTTGAAAATCAACAATCTCTATTTACATAATGATGCTGATTCCTCATTATTGGCATTGAATAACATATTATCAATAATCATGTCTATTATATTCTAATTAACTATAAAAATGAATGTGTTCTTGATGTCAAAATGAGTTGTGAGGTTGTTTTTGAAATTTACTTGATTGAAGAATTACTTCTTCAAGGTATTAAGAAAGGGGTTGTATTCTACTTATGCCTTGACATGTTGCAACTTCATGTACACCATGATATTGATTGTGTGAAAAAAAATTGTAAAAGTTTTTACATTCATTATTTGCTTCTACTTATGCATTGTAAGATTCACCTCTTTACAACCTAGCATCTTACAGAACAAGCAACATGTTGAGACAACTTAATCTATGTTCTCATCTCATAGGTTTTACATGAGGTTGAATTTTGTTCCTATAGAGGATTTCTATAGGCTTTACAACTTCTTCACCATTGTGAATTTGATGAACACACCTCAACATGAGTAGTGAAACTGTAGATTGTATCATAAGGTGTCTTTCCAATAATACGAAGGAATACTATTTTGGCCCTATAGTATGGCAACTTTTGAATCTTATTTTAGAAAAATTAGGATTTTTTGCCAAAAAGTCCTTATATAAAATAGTCTAATTATATATATATATATATATACACACACACACACACACACACACACACACACACATATATATATATATATATATATATATATAATCTTATAATTCACATGAAAAAAATTATTTCTCTTCATCCAAAGAAAAAACAATACAACAATTATATAAAAAATAAACTACTTCATTTTATCATTTTATTTTAACTTTTAATAACTTCTAATGATATATAAAATAATTTTAAAAGTGTTATATGTTTATATCAATTTTTATAAAATTATCTTAATAGTAATTATTTAATATCAAAGTTTATAAATTATATATATATATATATATATATATACATATACATGGTATTGCTAATACCACTATAATCTATTGTATACTAAATATAAAGTTAAATTGCGTTTCTTATTAAAATCTTTAAAAATAATAGATTTGAAATTACTTTATTAAAGAATTTTAGAAGCTTTTTATTCTAAAAAAAAACTATGGTAATATAATTCTTTGATGTCTAATATACTTTTAATGGTATTTTAAATTCAATTTTTTTGTAGTTAAAAGTATAATTTATAGTAATTTATAAAATAAATAAATACATATATATATATATATATATATATACATACATATTTAAAATATATTTTAATACTAAAAGAAGATATTTTAAAACTTTTAATAAAAATCAAACTAATAATTCATGTAACTAATAAATTATTTAAAATATGTATATATTGGATTTAGAAAAGGCCAAAGTGAATGTGATGTAAAGAACTACTTTGGTATTTTACTAGACCTTTTAGCTATAATGATCTTTAATAGAATGATTTTATATGGTTATATTGCAAAAAGTTTAAAACCACCTTTACAATCATATATGAATAATAAAGAAGATACAATTGTTTAGGATATAAATTTAGATAAAAGTATAAAAAAATAAAATACTTATTTATCATCAAAGAAGATATGAAGTAAAGAAAGAAGAGTTAGAAATAAGATAGAAAAGAACTAGAATAGCTATTATTAAATATAGAAAGACTATAGAGACTTGAATTAAGATTAGAACATAATAAAGTTATTTATAAGATTGAAGGTGTCCTCATTCTTGTTTCTATGTATACTAGTTATTAAAAAGACATTGTAGATATTTTTTTAAGGACTACAAGTCTTATGGTTCAAGCATTAAGTTGTAAGTTGCTTCCAAGTCAATTTCTTAAAATAAAAAACTTTTAGGATAAGTTTCAATAGCCATATGACACATTTGTAGGAATTTAAAGATCTTATCTACATGAAAAAAACTTTAAAGAAGATATTATCTACATAAAATGTTCTTCCTCATTCTACCTACTCTTACTTGCTTTTAATTATGTAAATAATATAATTCTTTGTTATATTATCCTCTTAAAGACAAGTTCTAATAAAAGTAATTAATTTATTTGATAAGTTTTATAGAATCCAATACCTAATGACATTTATAATGTGTTGTAATACTTACAAATGTATTACTAAGTATTAAGAGTTTTTTTAAAGATCATCATACTATATACTCTATATTTAAATATTAATTTGAAGAAAGTCAAGTATCTCTTGAAAATCTTCATTTCAATTATAACATTTTGAAGATTGAGACAACCTATCCCATATTCAAATTATTACTACTATAAATGAATATGCATTGAAATACCTCCATAATCTTATCAAGATTCTTACAAGGATTTGTAAATTGATTTTTATGTAATATCTCTTTTGTCTTAAAAGAAACGCTT